ACAGCAGAAATCCATCTTTTAAGTAAGGCAAGAAAATGTGAGCTTCCTGGTGTTTAAGTAGGAGTTATCTTTGCTCTCGAAAACCTGGTTACAATTCTTTTTATTTATTAAGTACGCCACAGTCAGCCAGATAAGATTAGTGAAAATAGTGAAAGAGAAAGCATTTATCTGTTTCACTTGACTCTTTGTACTTTTGCCTTCATTTTCTTTCCCTTGCTTGCCCATCACATTAGGGACCTCACATTCTATACTGTGTAAGATTGTCTCATTGAAATGTAGCTACCTGCTGTCTGTGTAACTATAAGCAAATTATTTAACCTCTTTGTGCCTTGATTTCCCTACTTGTAAAATGGCAGTTGGCTATTGCCAACGTCACAAAGTTGTTAGGATTAAACACATTAAGATGTGTCAAGCACTTATCTTAGTGCCTGGTTGTACAAAGCGCTGAGTGACCGATTATCTAGTAATTACTAATAGTACCTATTAATATAGTAATGATTGAGAACCATATGCTTCATTGCCAAGTATCAAATTGTTAAACAAGACAGAATTGGGATTCTTTATGTGCAATAGCACGGGGTTTTGCTTTTTCTACATGAATACACTTACAGAGTGTCTTAAAGATACAAAAGCACTGTTGGGTCAGCCCCCAGAAGACTTCTGAGTGGTAAGAGAGAATGTCCTAAGAATCCTAGGAATCATATTGAATTTTTTACTTTTATTGGAAAAAGAGACAGCAGTATCTATATAGTGTTGAGCTGGTTGGTTCTTTTATGTATTAATTTCTCTCATAGTAAACATGGTGCTTTCTTTAGCCAATGTGAATATTCTACATTGTATGGCCATCATTAAATCTTATTTATAAATTAATTTCTGGCATGGTGAGTGTATTTCTTTTTGAGGCATTGCATTTTTAAACATTTAGAATATAACCTCACTCAGTTTGAGAATACTTTATGCAAAATAATTTTGAAGGACATTTTATTTTCTAGTATGTATTTTCAGCAGGTGGCTAATGGCATTTGACCTGCTGTACCAGCAAACAGAACTGAATGTCAGATGAATATTTTTTAAAAAACTGCATTTTCATCTTGCACAATGAAGCAAAGTAATTCTTTTTGGGATTGCCTTGCATATTTTTCCAAGTAGTTATTGATAGCGATGTGTCAATTTCGTAGGAGAGAAAAGAGAAAATTTTAATGTTATGCATTTAGGTCTTAAGAATATTTAAATATATTCAGATTGGTAAATGCAACTATTTTAACAANAGTGAAAATAGTGAAAGAGAAAGCATTTATCTGTTTCACTTGACTCTTTGTACTTTTGCCTTCATTTTCTTTCCCTTGCTTGCCCATCACATTAGGGACCTCACATTCTATACTGTGTAAGATTGTCTCATTGAAATGTAGCTACCTGCTGTCTGTGTAACTATAAGCAAATTATTTAACCTCTTTGTGCCTTGATTTCCCTACTTGTAAAATGGCAGTTGGCTATTGCCAACGTCACAAAGTTGTTAGGATTAAACACATTAAGATGTGTCAAGCACTTATCTTAGTGCCTGGTTGTACAAAGCGCTGAGTGACCGATTATCTAGTAATTACTAATAGTACCTATTAATATAGTAATGATTGAGAACCATATGCTTCATTGCCAAGTATCAAATTGTTAAACAAGACAGAATTGGGATTCTTTATGTGCAATAGCACGGGGTTTTGCTTTTTCTACATGAATACACTTACAGAGTGTCTTAAAGATACAAAAGCACTGTTGGGTCAGCCCCCAGAAGACTTCTGAGTGGTAAGAGAGAATGTCCTAAGAATCCTAGGAATCATATTGAATTTTTTACTTTTATTGGAAAAAGAGACAGCAGTATCTATATAGTGTTGAGCTGGTTGGTTCTTTTATGTATTAATTTCTCTCATAGTAAACATGGTGCTTTCTTTAGCCAATGTGAATATTCTACATTGTATGGCCATCATTAAATCTTATTTATAAATTAATTTCTGGCATGGTGAGTGTATTTCTTTTTGAGGCATTGCATTTTTAAACATTTAGAATATAACCTCACTCAGTTTGAGAATACTTTATGCAAAATAATTTTGAAGGACATTTTATTTTCTAGTATGTATTTTCAGCAGGTGGCTAATGGCATTTGACCTGCTGTACCAGCAAACAGAACTGAATGTCAGATGAATATTTTTTAAAAAACTGCATTTTCATCTTGCACAATGAAGCAAAGTAATTCTTTTTGGGATTGCCTTGCATATTTTTCCAAGTAGTTATTGATAGCGATGTGTCAATTTCGTAGGAGAGAAAAGAGAAAATTTTAATGTTATGCATTTAGGTCTTAAGAATATTTAAATATATTCAGATTGGTAAATGCAACTATTTTAACAAATAATATACCTGATATATTTACATGTTGAAAGCCATTTAAAGTACATATCAACCTTCCATCTTTCCCATTTCTTTGGGTCATTGTTATGAAAAATCACATATTTTAATCCACATACTTTTATTTTTAATATTTCCATTTTTCTCTTGAAATTTATACAGTATATTCCATGCCCTATTTTCACACAACCTTTAAGAATTATGCATACTAAATGATAATTCTCAATTTTTATGCGAAAATAGACCATGGCAACATTCTATAAATGATAAAGGTTGCTCAGGGCTCCAAGATTAGCAATTTTAGATCATTGTCCATGTTTATTTCAAGCTAAGTATTGGCACAAGCGTTTATACAACTATAGTCTTTGCAGTAATGTGTTGCGTAGTTTGTGTGTTGAATAACACTCCAATTTAAGTGTAGTTGAATTTTTGAGGTGAAGATGTATATGCAGCTTGATCAATGCCCAGAGTACCTTGTAGAGTGGGCGACTGTGAAAAAATGACAGTGTAAAGAGTTATATTTCCTGTACTGAACATATTAGAGCTGGCATTTTGCCACTGAACTGTTTGATGAGGGAGGGATATTGTTTGTGTGCTTTGCATTTAAGGCTTAATTTCTGAGGCTGAATTCCAATTTTGTTTATTCCCTCAGGTAATTACTGGTTTTCTAGATGCAAAAGAAGTGTATCATTGGATTAAAAAAAATTTTTTTTTAATGGTTAAACTTGTATTGTAGATGTCCTTTCTTTAAATTTAGGCACTAGAGATTCTCACACATCAAAGGAGTGTGTGATTCTCATTTGTGGCTAAAGAGTTAATCATCTCTCAGCACTGCTTTGAAGTTAGTTTTTTTCTCATTTTTCTTATCTTAACCCAGCATGGGTTCATGAATAAAATGAACCACTCTGATAGGTATAGTGTTTTATCGCTTTTGCCTATGGCTTTTGCTAATAAAAATTCAAATTCTCGTTCGTTTGCTGCAATCAAATCAATGTAGTGTATGGCATACTTTTTCCCTGTTATGAATCCCTCCCACAGAAAATAGGCAGGGGAAACCAGCATGGGGGTGGAGAGAAAGGACAAGGCAATTCAGGGTTAACTATAGTTTACCTGTTTTGCCGAAGTTGTGGTTAGTCTGTAACCTGCACAAGAGGTTTTACTTCTCACTGCCCTACAATCCTTAAAATTCCTATTCCTTAGGATTAAATTCCTAAAATTCCTGTTCTTTAGTCAAAGCATATGAATCTGCTGTTTTGTGGGCGAGGCAACAATAACAGCAATAGCAGTACCTTAATTTGATAAAGTGTGTATGTGCGTGCTTTCAAAGGCAGCTCTATGAGAATCTGCTTGCTGGAGAATAACTGAGGCAGGTGATGAAGAATGTGAGGGGATGGCTGAAACAACGGAATTCTGACAGTTGCTAAAATTAAGTCATCCTGCTTACAAGATGACCTGATCCGTAAGTCAAATAGGATTTGGCATTTTAAAAACAAGGATCTTCTCCACTAACATCAACACAAAAGAATTGTGCCTGGATGCTTTCTTCAGAAGGTAGCATGTGAATTTAGAAACCAGAGAACATGCCAGGAGTAGACTGATGATTGTATGAGACATTCCATGCTGGAACCAGACACTAGGCTCTGACTAGGCTCAGCTGGAAAGACACTTAAAGTGCAGTTAGGGGAATACAAATAAGGAGCTAATTTAGCAAATTTGCATATACATGTCACAGTGGGTAGGATCGTGGTCTCAAGGATTTTAATTATTTGAAGGCTGGTCACTTTGGGCAAATAAATTATTCTCTCTGAGCCTCAGATTTCTTAATTATAAAATAGGGATAAGCAATGGTGTCTAATTCATATTATTATTTTGAGAAATAATTACCAAATATGAAAAGAAAATTAAATGAAACTTATAGTGAACAAAAACTGCCAATCACAGAGCCTTGGAAATCTGTCACCATTTATATATTTTGCATATAATGGAACACTTCATTACAAGGCTCCTGTTTGGCCTCGGAATCCTGCTCAGCACAGAATGCTGGGAAGTTCCCACTGTTTTGTAGAGTTGGCAGTCCACGTGAAATGTATTTGTTCATCCTGAGTGAATCCAACTCTACCTGTCTCCTCTCTTTCCATTTTGCCGACAGTCTCCCTAATGCAAATATCTGCTCAGTTACTTGGAAAAGTGGGAATGGAGGGATTGGTTACCAATAATCATAGTGTTCAGGCACCCGTGCTGGGTGCTTTACAGAGATTGGTGTTAAGTAGGTGATCCCCAAAATTTATATTTCCAGTTTCATTCTCTAACCCGGGCTCCATTCATGGATTTGTTTATCATTTGTCTCCCATGTCTTGGACTTTTGTTCTTGCTGATCTCTATGCCCGGAAGGCTCTGTCCTTTTATTTTATGTACCTTGCTGCGTCTCATTCAAATGTCATTTCTTCTGAGACTGAGGTTTCTCTCTGACAACTGTATTAAGCCAGTCTCCCATCCAGTCAGTTTCTTATCTCATCACCCTGTGACATGTTTCTTCAGGACCCTTTTCCACGTATATAAAATCATGTTATTTATTTAATTGTTTATTGTTTTATCTTCCAACCCAGAATGCAAGCTCCTTGAGAGGAGTGGCCTTGTGTGGCTTGTTCAACACTCTACTCCAGAGACCTGAAACTGTGCCTGGCTCAACAACCTTCAGAGGTATGATCATTTATTTCCGTAATTTTATAGGTGACCAAAGTGAGGTCCAGGAAGGTGTAGTAGCTTGTCCAAGATGACGGGCATTCGAGGTGGCAGAGCTGGGGTGTAGTAGGCCCAGTGCTATGCTCTGACAACTTTGCAACAATGCGGTTGAAGGGCAGGAACGTTGATAGGGGGATGGCGCTGCGTTGAGTGCTTGGAACTTCCTTTGAGTCCCCGGGCTGGCAGTTATTGTTTCTCTAGCATTGTCAGACAAGAGCTTGTCCTATTATTTTATACTCTGGCATACTTGGCTTATCTTTCTTCCTTTTTCCTTTTGACTTAGTGCCCATGACACCCATGGTTTATATTTTACAAGAATGCATTCAATCCCTTACTGCTTGGGAAAAACAAACACTGGATTTTAAAGAAGCCCCTCAAAGGCCTAGAATTCATGGTTTTGAATCCAGATGGAATTTTCCACCTGGCTTGGGTTCTTCCTTTTAATATACATGCTGTTTTCTGAGCATTTGTTACTTGACATTGCCATTTATTATAGCTATAGCTTTCTTTTTGTGAGTTTGTGTTGTACTTGGCCCCTATTGACTAGAATAGTTCCACCTCCATACCTTTCTGTCCCCTCCTCCTCCCCCAGTGCAAAACGTGGTGGTGCTTCAGCTGGGCTATTTATCTTGTTTTTAGCCAGACACACTGCAGAATAAAACAGTCTTGTCATGTGTATCATTAAGATGTATAAATATGTTTTAACTTTGGGGAAAAAATGAAAAGAAGAAAACCAGCACAGTTGATTAAAATGGGATAATCTACTGCCTAATAAATCACACCCAGGAGATTTTAGAGGAAGAAGTTATTGGTACTTTTTACACTAGGACATTTGGTGTGCTTCACTGCATTTGACCTTTTAGAAGCTTTTGACATCACTTGGGAACTGCCGGTAAACCTGCCTTAACCAGTTAAAGAGAAGGAATCTTCGCATTGTGGGACTGACTTGATTAATTTAAATCCAAACACACACAGTCCTGCCTGTATGCCCTTTGCAGTGCCCTTGCACAAAAGGATTTCATTCAGAAGCGTTATAACCCACATCCTGCTGTCAGACCCGTTCAGCTCTATTGGCCATTTTAGGCTGCAGGTGGCATCTTTAACCCCTCTTACGCTTCCTTTTATTTCATGAAAACAGTATCTATGCTTAGATTCACACAAATGCTCTACATTTCACTCCAAGTTCTTTCTTTGTGTCCTAGGGAAAAGGTATTTTAAAGTTCCACTAATTGAGAGACTAAAATGGGAACTAATCTAAAACTGGCTTCTTTAGAAGAGTATATTAGAACTTAATTCAGTGCTTCCTCTGGGAATTGCAATCAAAATTAGAATCATGAAATGTTGAAATAAGTTTTTGGCATTAGAGTAAGCCATCGTCTATAATACCTTTGTCTTTTAGATTAAAAACACTGAAGGCTTTATAATCCATGTTTAGTTTTGGGAAAACATGAAAGTTAATTGACTTGTGGGTGAGTTCAGAGTAGTATAAGGATCTAGTCCTGGATTCTTAAATGAAAGCAAAATGAAAATCCTTTAAGGATAAAACTTTGAACAATTTTAGTCTGTTACAGTCTGAACTGAGTGAACTACCCCCACACTGGGCACTCTGCTGGGCTTGGTTGCAGAAGAGGGCAGATGTTTGTGTGGGAGAAATTTAGAAAATTGCTACAGAGTGCTTCCTAACACATAGAAATGTTAGACTGGAAAGGACCAACACCGTCATTTTAGACAGCAGAAAACCTAAGGCCCCCACTACTTGATTATTTAAGCTCTTAAAGGCCCTTACTTGGACAACTTTTGCTTCTTCGTTACCCACTCACAACGCTCTTCCAGAATACACACGAAGCCTCTAGAGAAGGCTGCGTAAGCCCATTCTCTGTGGTTTTGTTCATTATCAATTATTTTAGTAACTACTGTTTTAAGGGCTTGTGATGCACCAGTACCTTATGCTTTATCTTTGTCTTCACAACTACAATATGAGGTACTGTTCTTCTCTTTTTAAAAATTAGGAACTGATGTTTAGAAAGTGAGGGATTGGCCCAGAGTATTAGTTACTCCGAGATGGTAGGCTGGAGCCGAGGAAGCAGCCTCTCTAGAATATCCTTAGGGTAACAAGGAGTGTTCCCCTCAAGCCCTGTGAACTGACTTGAGAATATTATGGTGAATGAGTAGGCCGTGAGTCATTGGTAAGAAAAAAAATTAAGGCAGTTTTGGCTTTAATTCTTCAGATACAGTGGGTTCGCTATAAGGGAATATGAGAGCACCTCCTTTCTGGCTGCTGTTAGAAGCAATAGGTGTCTGGATGAGGAAAGTATTGGGGAATCAGGGGACCTAGAAGCTATGTGGCACAAAAGAAATCACAGCACTATTTTGAGCCTCTGTTTATTTTCATTTCAACAAAAAGTGAAATTCCAATTTCTCCTTTATCCTACCACGTTAGGCTGTTTCAAAGATTAAGTGAAATAATTGAATCTTAAATACTTTGGAAAATGAAAATAATTATGTCCTTGACTCATCAAGGACATAAACTTTTTGTCCATTTATTCAGTAAGTATTTATGGAGAGAATGCCAAATGTAAGATGTGGTGCTATATGGAGGATAAGAGACAAATAGAAACTTTGTCTCTACCTCACAGAAGATTAAAATGAGTAGGAAAATAAGATGCGTGATAATAACTAGGCAAGAGAATGTTTTATTATTTATTTTAATCCTCACCTGAGGATATTTTTTTCCATTGCTTTTCAGAGAGAATGGAAGGGAGGGAGTGAGGGGGAGAGAGAAAGAGACGAACATCGATGTGAGAGAGACATATTGATTGGTTGCCTCCTGCACACACCCTGACTAGGGCCAGGGAGGGAGCCTGCAACTGAGGTATGTGCTCTTGACTGTGAATTGAACCCAGGACCCAGTCTGAGGGCTGACGCTCTAACCACTGAGCAAACTGTCTAGGGCTACGCAATAGAATGCTTTAAATTCAAGGTAGAGAACACGGGAATTTCTTAGGAGGATCCCATTCCTGATGGAAGAGATGGGCCTTGAAGGATTGGTAGGGTTTAGATTGGTGGGGAGGAGAGGTAGGAGTGTGGTGGGAGGAGTGGGTAGGTATGTGTGGAATTACAGGAGGAAGAAGCAGTAGAAGCAAAGGCCTGGAGGAGGGAAAATACTGAGATGTATTAGTGTATCAGGCTGTCTTAATTGGCTATAGCTCAAGGTGCCCAGAGTTAAGTCTGACGAAAATGGGTTTATGTTGAAGCTGTGAAACCTGCACTTGATTCAGTGACCCCCAGGGGGAGACTTTTAGGAGTTTGGAGTTTCGTGGTAACCCTGTAAGGAAATGGTTGTGAAGACTCTTCAAGGACAAAGTGATACATAGAATGATTAAAGGAGTTAGACACTGAGCATTCTGAGATGACTGTTGGAGAAGATCTAAGATAGAGGGAACACTGCAGGACTGGAACAAGGAGGAGAGAGATTAGTGACATTAGGCCCCTGACTGGACTTAAGGGCGATGGAGAGTTAGAACTTCTGGCCATTGGAAGTTCTGTGATACTTTTTCATTAAATCAGTATGCATTTAACAAATTTAAACCCAAATGCTAATCATAAAATCCCATATCTCACTGTTGTTGTTTTTAAATAATATGCTTAACTGATAATAGGAAAAGTGTTTTATGAAGACCAGAGGAGCCAAGAATGTTGCTCATCTGGGCTAGGAGGAAGTTCAACATAAATTTTGAGGCAAAGCTAGTTTAGGATGGAGGCTGTTTTGCCTTATCATCGGAAAGGTGATTTGGGAGAGGAGGCAGGCTGGCCGCTGTAGCTTACTACTCAAGGCTTTAGAAATCCTGGCCAAATATCCCCTCAGAGGTAGCACTGTAATCCCCATTTGCTTCTGAATTGGCACTTGGCAACATTATTTCACTTTAGTTTAAGAAACAAGTTAAGCTCCGGACCTTGTTGAACCCCAAGCTTCAATTTAAGGATTAAGGTGGTTGCATGGGAGTTGATGAGATTTAAAATGTTTTCTCAGCCAAGGAGATATTTCTTTGGGAAATGTGCTGTGTCTCCCCC